CGCCCAGCCAGACCAGGTTACTAAGATCAACATTCTCTAAACATTATGAGAAAACTCACACCACCGAAAGCAGTGCTTGCCACGCTACGAACACCTCGAGACTACGATCATATTTCTCCCGATTGCCATTTACCGGGCCGAAGCTCCCTAATTCGCTTTATCCCCGATGCTCGATTCAACCATACGGCCTAGGTATCGACCAATTCCGAGCGGCATCCCTCTGTACATCATTATGAGATCGAATTTTCATGAATTATGCATGGCCACCTGTCACAGCGATGCATTTTGACTCCCGTGTGATTTCCTGTCAGAGTCATGTTTCTGTCCCCGATCTCCTCTTGTTACCAACCTCAGGCACTTGACTCGAATCGGATGGGCAAATTGTTGCCTACACGTTCATAAATGCCGGGTCATTCCTGTGCCTCACCTGACCGCCTGACCTGCTGCAGCTTTGCATACCGCCCCACCTCAGATCACCCATCGCGGTCATGTGACCTGTTTCATTCATGATCACCTGTCGGCAGCAGTGCATTCCGGCTCATCTGGGATGACCTGCTACATCCACGTGTTTCGGCTGACCTGTGATGACCTGCTACAGCCACGTGTTTCGGCTGACCTGTGATGACCTGCTACAGCCACGTGTTTCGGCTGACCTGTGATGACCTGCTACAGCCACGTGTTCCGACTGACCTGTGATGACCTGCTACAGCCACGTGTTTCGGCTGACCTGTGGTGACCTGCTACAGTCACGTGTTCCGGCTGACCTGTGATGACCTGCTACAGGCCACGTGTTCCCGCTGACCTGTGATGACCCGCTACAGTCACGTGTTCCGGCTAACCTGTGATGACCTGCTACAGTCACGTGTTCCCGCTGACCTGTGATGACCTGCTACAGTCACGTGTTCCGGCTGCCCTGTGATGAACTGCTACAGTCACGTGTTCCGGGCGGACCTGTGATGACCTGCTACAGTCACGTGTTCCCGGCTAACCTGTGAGGACCTGCTACAAGCCACGTGTTCCCGCTGACCTGTGATGACCTGCTACAGTCACGTGTTCCGGCTAACCTGAGATGACCTGCTACAGTCACGTGTTCCGGCTGACCTGTGATGACCTGCTACAGCCACGTGTTCCGGCTAACCTGTGATGACGTACCACAGTCACGTGTTCCCGCTGACCTGTGATGACCTGCTACAGCCACGTGTTCCCGCTGACCTGTGATGACCTGCTACAGTCACGTGTTCCGGCTAACCTGTGCCCGTCCGCCGCAGCGATCTGCCCCGGCCACCCGTGGCAGGAGTGGCAGGGCTCCTGTTACCGGCTCACCTACGACACCGCACCCTGGCATGGTGTCAGGGGCGATTGCAAGGTCTTCTTCAGGTCCGCCGACGCTGCCAGCGTCACCAGCAAGGACGAAAACGACTTCATAAAAAGTAAGCTGTTCATCCTCTGACGCATATCAAGTTAATGTGGGGTGCTTGGTACATGTGATTATGTCTCTTCCAGCAATTTTCAAGTCATTTATAGCAGACCATGCCCGTGCTTTTCTGGCCAACATGTTCTGAAAAGACCATGAAATCAATTTCTTGTTATCGGAGCTTTTGCGCCACGAAAGGACCGCATACGGTCAGTGGATCCATGGGGCTATCCAGGGATCCATTGTGCTTGAGTGCCGTCCATAAAGCTTTGGCAGGCCCTGTCATGCAATATCGAGACGTCAGTTGAATCCGCTCATCATAAACTGTCATTTGGTGACTAACCACTCACCAGATGCACAACGCGCACAAGGATATTGGAAAAAAACGGATGAGAAGAATGTTAAAATATCAAGAGAATTCGTGACGGAACCAGGGGCGCGGGACTGTTGCAGGAATTGGCATTAGCGGCAAAACAAGACACCTTTTAATGCCATTTTTCCCCACATCACTATCAGGCTAAAAATATTAGCTAAGGTCAAACACTTATGAAAAGCAGGACGGCTTTAAGCGCCTCCGAGCCGTTCGGGAGATGCAGTAATAAGAGTGGGTTTTGGATCTGACCCTTCAGGATAGGAGACAATGAAACAGAAGGGACTTCTAAGAAAAAGATGAGCCGTCCAATACCGTGCCATGCACCAAATTTTTTAAAACGTCTTCGTTTATTCTCCGGGAACATAAGAGCTGAACACGGTTTAGGGCCATAACCATGCCTAGCCGTGTTCAACCGGCCACCAACCGCTTGGCTGCCGTGCGAGCCTGACTCGCTCCCGCACCGCTGACTCATTCGCCCTTGGCCTGACCTCGAACTACGTCGTGTGTACATCCGAGCGCAAGCTGTGAGCTCGTCGTGCTTTGTAGCCTGAAGTCCTAGCGGCGCGCTCGTCTTTGTGTCTGTTCTGCAACTGCGTTTGCGCGCAGCCCATTGTTGTTTATTGGTCCTCCCGTGCGCCACGACTACGCGCGGGCAACCCGCCGGCTTCGCAACGCCTGCAGCAGAAGGTGACGCATCTCTGCATCTCATTCTGTTTGTTCAGCTGCGATGACATTTTAACTGAAGGATTGAGACGAGGCAGTAGCATCACACGCGGAATAATTGTGCGGACTTCCATCCTCGCCTGGTGCGGTAACATTTACACAACGTTAAACCCCGGCCGTTAACACTGCGGCCGTTAACACTGCGCCCGTTAACACTCCGGTCGTTCACGCTCCGACCGTTAACACTCCGGCCGTTAACACTCCGGCCTTTAACACTCCGGCCATTAACACTCCGACCGTCGTCAATTGTTCTTGATTCTTCCCCCTGGTATTCAGTTAGCTCAATTGATAGAGCATTGTACTTGCGACTAGATGACCCTGATTTGAATCCCCAGCAACTCCACGAAGAAAAATCGTGCTGTAGTGCGTACATGGCTGAAAATCTAACACCGCCCAGTCCTCAGTACTCAACCACCTGAACGCGGCCGGGGAATTAGCAGGTTGCAACGTTGTGCAAATACAAACACACCAGACCAGGACACTAATCCAAACTTTCATCAGCAATTTTTTTGCATCGTTAAAAAAACGTTGCAGCAAATTATCCGTGGCGGTGCCTCGTATCTAATGAGATGTGTCACTAATTTCACCTGGGGGATAACATTTGAGCGCAGCATGATATCAAACGAGACACGAGCTTGGCCCTCTAGTTAACTTTACACCTATACAGTGACCTGGCGCGCCTCTCCAGACAGCGTGGTAACGCATGAACTGTGGCCTCAGATCTGGCAGGCCAGAAAGCTGTCTGGCTGGGCCTGAGGTCGACCAACAACCTGCTGACCTGGACGGACGGCACGGCCGTCAGCTACCGCAACTTCCCCGGCAGCCGTACCCAGACCAAGGGCGCGGAGGATGTTGTCCAGGTCAGCACACCGCCAGTGTGCGGTTTCTATGGCAAGTCACGCGATGGGAATGTGTGTGATTAATCGCAAGAACATCAGCGTAAAAACATGCGAGACCTTGGCAGTCACGCACCAAGGTGAACATGGAAGGATCGCTAACATATTTCGACGCCCAATAACGCTCTCAGCCTGGTAATGCACCCTAGTCAGCTAATTTTACCCGAGCGCCTGTTGTGTTTGGACGTGACCTTCCTAACGCGTCATCATTCTGAGGAATATTTTTCCGGCCCGAGAATCTGCACGTGGTTTGTCCTCTGTGACCTCCGCAGTCAACACGCCCTTGCACCACTCCCCCAGCCCAACCCCGTCCGGGTCTGGGTCTCAGTCTCCGAGAGGGACCCGTCTCTGGTGTCGGCATCGCCTGGTGGCGGTCCTCTCGCGTACTCCTGCCCCCCCCCCCTCGTTCTCCCCCGCCAATGTCCAGCCCTTGACCAATAGGCCCGCGGCGGTCCCACACTCGCCCCTCGCACAGCTCTGCCCGTCGCCAGATGGAGCCGTCGGGCCGGTGGCGGTTCGCCGCCTCGCACACGGCCGGCGCGCTGCGGGGCGTCTGCAAGATGCCCTCCTGCCGCTGCCCCTCCGGCTGGCGTGAGTGGGACCGCCGCTGCTACCGGGCCGTGACGTCACGCGTCAGCTGGACCGAGGCGCGCCAGCGCTGCCGCAAGATGGCGCCCACCGCCGACCTCGTCAGCATCATCAACGAGCGCGAGAACAACTTCGTGTTCGGTGGGTGAGGCTGATGATGATGATGATGATGACGATGACGCGTATTTGGGAAATCCGAATCACTCCGAGCTTTTGCAACCAATTTTCAGCAGATAAATGGACAGCTACTAGATCACGAGGACAAAGTCAATCATCCAAAAACAAACGCCCGAAACACACGCAGATGCACACCAGTCACGACTCCGCTGCACGAACAGGTAATGACATCCACGAATGTCCCACGAAAAGTCCTTCAAATGTTTCGGGAAGGTGACAATCGGAAGAAGTCGAGGAAAGTTAGAGAGAGTTCGTTATACATCTTGAGTGCACAAATAGAAAAACGCTTACGCGAAGGCTGCAGTGCCGGGCGGGGGGGGGGGGGGGGGGGGGGAGGGCAGAGGGCGGTGGTCGGGTGCCAGCTTGGCTCCGGCCGGTCTGCGGGTCAGGTCACGCTCGGCTGTCGTCTGCCATTCTCCAGCGAGCCGTACCTCAGCGCATGCTTGGGCCGCGAGAGATGACTCAAAATTTCCGTTGCTGGGTGAGTTCGAAGGGCTGTACCACTGCGCTGGTAGCGGTTTGTCCTTAGATGTATGCCAACCATGGGAAGGTGGGCCGCCTTTACGTACGTGCCGATAAGCCACGACACGGCTCCCGCTGCAAAGAACAGCTAAAAATAGAACTGACCAGTGCTGGCTGTGCAAAACACCCCCCCCCCCTTGGCTTTCATGTCTGTGCATATTCGTCCATGTGTTTAACACCTCGCTCTATCGTTTCCATGCTTGAATAGCATGACTTCCCTAGTGCCAAGGACAGCACGTATGCACAGAGCAGCAACCAACTACAGGAAAACAAAGCGGATGGTGAACTTATTGGATTCGGGGAAACAAAACGAACACAGCGATGCCATTCAGCCACACCCTCCATTAGGGTTCAATCACGCATCCGCACGAAAATTACCCCGCACACACGCCGACGGGTACACGCACGAACGCGTGCATGACTTCTGTTGCTGGTTTGTGCTCACTGCATTCGATGTCGCGCGGGCGCTAGTCATTTCGTGAGTACCATGCATAGGCGCACGTTGCTCGTGAACTGTGCATGCTCACATGGCCATGGACACAAACGGAATTCCAATCACGTGATGAGTTGATTATGCGAAAACTCTCTTGATGCTGCATTTCGCGACTCTGCAATTTGTTTTGGTGTATTGAATTTTAACTTTGTTCCTAAAGCGGAGGGCAAAGGCGTAAGCAATTTTTTATCTACGCTAAACCCTGAATCTACTATTCAACCATCCGCGTTATTCAAGGAATTCTCTGCTTATCCGATATTCACCACGCCACCGTCAAGTTTGATGCCTTATTTGAAGGAACTTAGATGAGAGACCACGTTTTCATTTCCAACAGCTGTCCAGCCTCCCCACGGCCTGTTGACAGAGTCCGTCAGCACTCCCTGCGGCTAGTCAATAGATCAGGAGCTGGCCGGCTGGCGGACAAGCCGAAGGCCAGCTTTGGAAGACATCAGGCCGCTTGAAGTTGGGTTTCCACTTGTGCTGACGCTAACCGACCGATCTGGTGCCGCGCGGCGGCTGGGCAGATCTGCTGAAGGAGTACCCGTTCTGGATCGGGCTGAACGACCGCGAGCGTGAGGGTCAGTTCGTCTGGAGCAGCGGCGAGAAGTACCCGTACACCAACTGGCACCGGCCGTCCGAGCCCAACGGCGTGAAGCACAGCCAGGACTGCGCTGAGATGCTGCAGGTGGGCTGTCGGGGTGAAGACCGACGGGGGCGCTGCCGCCCGACGAGGGGTGCGCCACCGACGGAGACGCTGCCGTCCGGTGAGGAGTACACCACCGACGGGGGCGCTGCCGCCCGGTGAGGAGTACACCACCGACGGGGGCGCTGCCGTCCGGTGAGGAATACACCACCGACGGGGACGCTGCCATCCGGTGAGGAGTACACCACCGACGGGGGCGCTGCCGTCCGGTGAGGAGTACACCACCGACGGGGACGCTGCCGTCCGGTGAGGAGTACACCACCGACGAGGGCGCTGCCGCCCGACGAGGCAGCAGCGCCTGTAGCTCCATGGATCCGCAGCGGCTCTGCCGACGGCGGAACTTGGATGTTTTGCTTGAATCGCTTGTGGCGCGCTGGTGGAGCAGGCAAGGTAAATATATATAAAAGGAAAGGTTGACGTACTGCACGTGTGCGAAGGCACCTGTGAACATGAGAGGAAGCTGGTAACCAGACAAGATGTGACTCAACCAAGCTGTCTCAGACGTGGTTTGCAAAAGCCGATCCGCTATAACCGCGTGTCGTGTTGCAGGACAAGACGTGGGCGGACAACTCGTGCCACGTGCACAACGGCCGCACCCGGCCGTTTGTCTGCGAGCTCATCATCTGCGGCCGGGCCGAGCAGATCCTGCGCGAGCCAGTCCGCGACGCCCAGATCCGCCTCTGGCAGCCCAACGGTCAGAGGGCTGGTTCAGAGGGTGGCAAGCCTAACAGTGGTGACCTAACAGTGGTGGGGCGGTCTGAGCAAACCGGCTCATTTCAGCCCAATCCACCACGACCAAGACATAGCTACGCGTTCAGATTGAGCAGTAGATGGTTGGCACTGCACTGCAGCCACTTCCCTCAACGTACAAACAAGATGCGCGCATTTGTTAAAAACAAAACTAGTATCGTCGAGCAGCTTTACTCTGGATCCCACAGTGCACTCGTACTGTACGGTCCTGCCGTTAAGTCTTGCTGTGCAGTCCTGCTGTTCAGTCTTGCTGTGCATAACTGCTGTGCAATCCTGCTATAAAGTCCTGCTATGCGATCCTGCAGAGCAGTCCTGCTGTGCACCAATGCTGTGCAATCCTCCTATGTAGTCCTGCTGCGCTGTCCTACTATGAAGCCCTGCAGTGCAGTCATATTGTCGAGTTCTGCTGTGCACGTCTGCTCTGCGATCTTGCTGTGTTGTCCTGTGGCGTAAGACCGTCGTGTACTCCTACAATGTAGCCCTACTGTGTATTCTTGCTGTGCAGTCCCGCTAGTTGGCCATGTTGAGGAGTCAGGCAGCGCAGTATCTTGCCATGAACGTCTGTTGTCAGTCCTGTAACGTAATTCTACTGTGCAGTCATGCTGTGCAGTCTTACTGTGTAGTCTGGCTGTTAAGTCTTGTTGAGCAGGCCTGCTGTACAGTCATGCTGTGTAGTTCCGCTGTGCAGTCTTGCTGCGTAGCCCGCCGCGTGCGTTTACTGCCTACCAGAGCTCCGCTGTGCAGTCCCACTGTACACAGCGCCAGTGACGCCCTGACGGCGCCGCAGATGAGCTGCGCTGTCCGGACGGCTGGAGTCGTAGCGGCAGCCGCTGCTACAGCAGCCCCACCGCGCCGAACACGTTCGCCCGCGTGCAGGCGCAGTGTGCCAGCCGCCACCCGCAGGGCACCGTGGCGCTGCTGCGCTCCGTCGAGGAGAACGACAGAGCCTTCTGTGAGCTCCACTGCTAATATTCATGATATATGGCTCCGTTAATGTAACAATGTCGGCCCGCCGCGCGTATCCCGCGGCATCGTTGATTGTCGCCCGCTGACCACGCCGGCCGTAAATCGCCGCGCAGGGTTCATAAAAACCGCCGCTACTCCGAAACGAGAAAGGCTAGAAACACGTTTTTGGTGTCAAAACACATGCAAGAGTGCCTTATAGGCCACTGAATATGTGATCGCAATAGTACAACATACCGGAGGGGTATCCTGAAAAACTTAGGAGGGGGCCCGCATCGACCCCTCCCCCTATCAGGGTCAGGGTTAAAGCGAACGTCTTGCCGCACACTGCCATCGTGATGCCTAGGAGCCGCGATGTTCGCCTCGTCGCTGTCACCTCTGCAACGCAGACTGTCGCTCCCACGCCGTTGGCTGTCGCCCGCGCGCCGTTGACTGTAGCTCCCACGCCGTCGACTGTCGCCCCCGCGCCGTTGATTGTCGCCCCCGCGCCGTTGACTGCCGCGCCCACGCCGTCGACTGTCGCCCCCGCGCCGTTGATTGTCGCTTCCGCGTCGCAGTCGCCGCCGGCTCGCTGCCGATGTGGATCGACTACGGCAGCCGGTCGGGGCGTGCCGTGCCGGCCGCCACGGAGCGGCTCAGCCAGCCGACCTCCACCTTCACCTACTGGGAGCCGAACGTGAAGCTGGCCCGCTCGGTCGACAGCGACTGCGCCGGGGTACGCCGCGTCGGCGGTCACGACGGCAGGGACGGGGAGGGCGGGGAGTCGGAGAAGAGGGTGTCAGGGGTCAGGGCGGTGGGGATCTGATGTCGGAGTCAGGACGTCAGAGATCGGGATGTCCGTGGTCAGGGTGTCTGAGATCAGAAAGTCGGGGATCACGACGTTAGAGATCCGGTCTTCAGGGATCCGTACGTCGGGGTTTGCGGTGTCGGAGATCTGGGGGTCGGGGATCAAGATGGCGGGAATTAGGACGCCAGAAATCAAGGCGTCAGAAACCTGGGCGTCGAGTATGTTGTCAGAGATCAGGATGTCAGAGATCAGGCTGCCAGAGATCGGGATACCAGAAATTAAGGCGGCAGAGTTGAGAAGCGTTGATGATCCAGGACGTCAAAGATCATGGCATGATATAAGGGTAGGCATAGTCGGAGAGAGGCGGACAATGGGGAGCAGACTCCAATCCTTGAGCCATTCATCCTAGTTTCTCTACTCATATATTGGTGGCTGGGGCCGTAGAGTGCTGAGTGTCTCCGTCCACCGCGAGCCCTCCGAGTTCCAGTGCTGCTTTCACCTGGAATGTAACACTCACGCCGGTTTTGTTGTACAGGCCCTTCCTTCCAAGCTCCGGGAATTAGTTAAGTTTGCCCACATTCGTGCTCTTGTTCAGATCCGTCTTGCATGCACTCCTCCTTGGCCCGGAACAGGCCCAGTGCCTCGGATAGCGAGCGTCGGTATGCCCCAGGGTGGTCCCTGCCCTAAGGTTTTGCTGTCGTGGCGTTTTGCCTCGTGCTGATTGGTCCGCGCTCGGGCCGGAGCTCGGGCTCGGATCCCAAGCTTGCCTGCGGGGCTGGTGATTATATAAGCTGCGTCTTCTCTGGTCTGCTGGTCTGGTCTGCACAGGATCTTCTTGGTCGTCCGCTGGTAGTCTGCTGACCCCGGTGCGGCGGGAGCGCGAGCGGCGTGAGACGCTACCCCGCAAGATGCTCCATTTCTCGGTTGCCCCTTGCTCTGAACATGTTAATGACAATTGGGCGTCAGCCGCAGTCATCCCTGGTCATCTGCTGTGCTTCAACCGGGACGTCTCGCCCCTTGATGACCTTGCTGTCGGCGGGGCCCGCAGCTGCCCTTCCGGCACGGCCTGTGCGCGCGGACGCCTTGCCCGGCCTGCTGACCTGTCGCTGACACTCTGGCTTACGTAGGGCGACCCGCCTACTAAGCAGAGTAGGAAGGAATTTCAGGGGGATGGGGGGGGGGGGGGGGGGGAGGGAAGACATGACAGAGACGATGCTAACAAAAGAATATATGCAATTATTATTGGTATTAGTCAAACGTAAGCTACGCCTTACAAAGCACATCTCTTCACGTCGTGAAGAAATTCTCGTCGGTTAGACAATTCTTACAGGAGGATATCTCAGCACTGCGCGATGCCATAGCGCAGCCACCCCATCCCAGCCGGTTTTTTTCGGCCTGTTGCTAGCTGACCGTCAATCGACGAGGGATATCGGCGCGGCAACTGGAACTCTAACCTGCATGTTCAACACACTTTGATAATATTGTTCGACCAGGGGGGGGGGGGGGGGGTAGTCTCCCTCTCAATTATGTAGGACAAGGGGGGGGGGGGTCCTTAACCTTAGAAAAAAGTGGGGTAGCTCCAGATAGAAATATTCTTTAGCGCGTTTCTGATGTAAGTTAAGTCACTTATTTCCCCTCAGCCTCAGCCCTCAACTTATTTGCAGAACTACACCCTGTGTTCGGCGGTCTTACACCTGAGATGCAGGGACAGCAAGCTCCTTGGCGTGATTTGCGCTCAAAAGCACCATAGCGGATGGCACGTGATTGATTCGTGGGGACTTGGGTTTGAAGTCACGTTCCAATAGTCGAGCGGCAAAAATGCCGGCCGCTCCCCAACAAAGATGGCGGGCGCCGCGGGTTCGGCACGCGGCATCACGCTGGTCCCAGAAGGCGATTGAGTTTTCCCGACCAAAGTGGCAACGACGTCCGTCTCTCGGCAGTCTGTCACGTACGGATCTTGCAGATACTTGCTCTCGCCTCTCAGACACTTCCGTGATTCTGCAAAAGACCCGAGCAGCCGCACTCAGGACGGGGAAGGAGATTCAGCCCTGTTTCGGCTGTAATCCTCGTGCTGAACGGGCTAAGCAACTCAGAGCACAAACTGCGGGCGGAGGAGAGAACGAAGACAGCATGTTCTGTCCAGCACGCCTCTCTCGTTCTGTGGAGAGGTGTATGGCGGTGTCAATGGCGAGATGTACTCACACCCGCCCCTCCCAGCCCTGCTCGCCGTCACCTGCCGTGAACACGTGCCGCAGATGGAGCAGTCGAGTCAGTGGCGTCCCCACCGGTGCGACGTGGACCGGCTGCCCGGACTCTGCGAGATCCCCGCTTGTGACCGTGAGTGCGGCCGCCTCAGGTCGGGGGCGTGCGTACTCCCGATAAAGCGGCACAGCCACCGACATGTCTCAGGCTGAAGCCGCCCTGGTAAAAATATATCACAAGCCGCTACGCCTAGCTGCAGATAACGGTTGACTTCTGACCTCTGATGACCTCCGCTCCTGCCGGCAGCCACCTGTCCACCGGGCTGGATCCCGTTCGGGGGCCACTGCTACCGTCTGGTCGGCCCGAAGCGGACGAGGGCGGACGCCGCCGCTGTCTGCCAGAGAGACGGCGGGCAACTGGCCAGCATCCAGAGTCAGGACGAGAACGACTTCATCACCAGTACGCTCTGGCGGCCTGCAGGCTGAAGTGTGCAATGAGGGACATTTCGTGGTCTAAGATCCCGGCGGATGCGCGTGAACCTGGCTTACATGGACATCATCATAGAGCATTTCTTTTCCACGTTTGCATTACTTGTCAACAATGCCAGTTGTGACACAGTTGAATCCAAATGATGTGCAGATAACCGCATTGGCGCAGGACATAACGAAAACCGAGCTTTATCAGGCGACGAACGGCGTCCATGTGTCCAAACGCTCAGCGTGGAGTGTGGAGTGTAATGAGCGAAGACTTCGGGCACCGTGCGAAGGCCGGTTTCTTCCTCCGGAGGTCTGCATCAGTCGCGACGCTCCGTCTCACCCACCAGGTGCCGACACCTCGTGCATTCGCTCGGCAACCCGAGAGGCCCGGCGCGCCTCTATCCTGCCGCCGGAAGCAGGGCCTCCTGATCTCTCTCCTGACGGCAGCGGCGCCCCTGGCTTCCCTCCTGCCGGCAGCAGGGCCTCTGAACTCCCTCCTGCCGGCAGCAGCGCCCCTGACCTCCCTCCTGCCGGCAGCAGGGCCTCTGACCTCCCTCCCGCCGGCAGCAGGGCCTCCGACCTCCCTCCTGCCGGCAGCAGCGCTCCTAACCTCCCTCCTGCCGGCAGCAGCGCTCCTGACCTCCCTGCCGCCGGAAGCAGGGTCTCCTGACCTCTCTCCAGACGGCAGCGGCGCCCCTGGCTTCCCTCCTGCCGGCAGCAGGGCCTCTGACCTCCCTGCCGCCGGCAGCAGGGCCTCCGACCTCCCTCCTGCCGGCAGCAGCGCTCCTAACCTCCCTCCTGCCGGCAGCAGCGCTCCTGACCTCCCTGCCGCCGGAAGCAGGGTCTCCTGATCTCTCTCCAGACGGCAGCGGCGCCCCTGGCTTCCCTCCTGCCGGCAGCAGGGCCTCTGACCTCCCTCCCGCCGGCAGCAGGGCCTCTGAACTCCCTCCTGTCGGCAGCAGCGCCCCTGACCTCCCTCCTGCCGGCAGCAGGGCCTCTGACCTCCCTCCCGCCGGCAGCAGGGCCCCTGGCCCCCCTCTCGCTGGCAGCAGGGCCCCTGACCTCCCTGCTACCGGCAGCAGGGCCTCTGACCTCCCTCCTGCCGGCAGCAGGGTTCCTGGCCTCCCTCCTGCTGGCAGCTTGGCCCCTGACCTCCCTCCCGCCGACAGCAGGGCCCCTGACCTCCCTGCCGCCGGCAGCGCTGGCGTTCCGCTCCGGCACCGACTTCAGCGACTGGACGTCCCGCTACGCCTGGATCGGCGCCGGGCGTGCGGACCCGACCGCCGCCTGGGCCTGGGCCGACTGCGACGCCTGGACGATGGCGCGCTGGCACGGCGGCGACGGCGACGACAGTTCGCGCACCACCGGCACGTGCGCGGCCCTGCTCTACACGGGCCGCTGGCGGGACGACGTCAACTGCGAGCGTGGCGCGTTCAGGTGAGGTCCGCGGCGGGTGGTGCCGGGGTCGCCCAGGGCGACCGGGGGAGGCGCAGAGGCAGGCCGCGGTCCCGTGTGGGGACCTGTGTCGATCTCGTCCGGTGGGCGCTGGGAGAGTGGATTTGGGTGAGTGTGTGTGTGTGTGTGCGTATGGAGCGAATTGAGCGCCGTTTGGAGGACACACATACACTGCCGGGGAGATTCGCAGTGGACTTGAACGTGGTCCACGCAGACAGGTCGAGCGAAGCGTTGCTGGGGGAGATCTAGTTCAAGGAGCGGAAAATCCTCAGACAAGTCGATGCGCTGTAAACAGTATGCAGAACATGGCCCTGACTTATGATGCCAAGTTTGCTTTTCTGCAAAAATTATGATGCTTTTTAACAATTTGGGTGACTGCTAATCGCCGTAATGAAAGTCAATACTGTGTGCATGCAGCGCCGTCAGTTGTCACGTGACTTTACGCTGCTGGGAAGACTGGTCGCCATTAGCCGTCGGTGAACGCAGTGCTTAAGTTTTCATCCTCCTTAGAATAACTTCTTTCGCTGACAAATTAGCTGAGTATCCACGGCGCCTAATCGTACATTGCCGCCATAATAACGACCATGATCATCACGCGGTGTCCCTACAGCTCGGTATGTGAACTGGACCCGTGCCGAAAGCAGTTCGGGCCCGCCGACCGGTCCGGCTGCCGCACCGGCAAGGTCACGGAGGTCACCGAGCCGCCGCCGAAGGTCACCAAGCTGCCGCCGAAGGCTACCGAGCCGCCGCCCACGTCAGCACCCGTGAAAAAGGAGCGCTTCATCTGCCCGCCGGACTGGACGCAGCTCGATGACTATTGCTACAAGTAAGTGGCTTGCGGCATGTGAGCGCGAGTGTGCAGGCGCACCGCCGTGCGCATACGTGTGCGCATGCACGCGTATTTGTTAACATCACGTGTTTTGTTGGCGCCAGACCTCAAAACATGACCACCACACCAGACTGACAGAAGGAGGGGACACACAGGAATTTGGTACGAACAACAAACAAGACCTCAACAGCAAGTGCAGAAAGGGACGGCCTGCCACACGGGTTTGTCTGCTGGGTGAGCTCCCACAACAAGCTAGAACTTGATCAGTGTTTCATTGATAGAACGCCATTCCCCGCACACACATAAAGTTTGGCGCTGGTTGGCGAATAACCTTGCAGTGTTTTGACAAGGGGTTTCAGACGCTGCTGAAAAACACTGTAAATATGATTCGTTCGTTGCATCAGTTTCTTTCCTCAGTTACACAACGCAGACTGATTATAGTCCTGTCAACCACACCGTTTGTTCTCTACCACGAACATCACTGTAACCATCTACCGACCATCCATCTCTATGGTGTACCGCTCGCGCCGGCGCCCCAGCCCAGCAGCCCTGACCAATGACGCCTCCCGACGGACCGCACAGACGGGGTGTCGGCCTCCGTCACCGCGCGTGCCAACCCCGACCGGCGCCACCGGGCGCTGCCCACGGCCCCCGCTGACGCCGCCGCTCGCCGCAGGGGAGTGATCGAGCCGGACACGTTCATCGGCGCCCTGCAGACGTGCACGGTCACCTTCAGCCCAGCGCACGTGGCCAGTGTGCACTCACCGCGGGAGAACCGGCTGCTGCTCGGTGGGTGGCGGCCGGCCGATGGCTCGCGTCCCTGCCGCGCACTCCCCGTGACCCCTCGCGTGACCCCTCCCCGTGACCCCTCGGTGCCCTACGTGTGTTCAGTTTGTGCAGGTGCGGTGTAGCAGATCTATGCCTTGTACCACCAGAACGGGTTCGCGTTCCGCCAGCGGCAAGCAGGCACCAATGCTGCGGTAGGCTAAGGTAATGTCGCGGCGGGCAGATGTCGGGTGATCCTCGCCCGCAACCACGGAAGTGCCACGCATGCCACGAAACAGCGCGCGGCAACAGCCAGCACCGCTATAACGGCAGAGCCGGCTCAGCCCGCCTCAGAGGTGCGACATCCCAGCCCGCACATCACCTCCCCGCGTGGCGCCGGCAGAGCTGACCGGCGGCGGCCCCAGCTGGCTCGGCCTCACCTCGGCCTACGACTTCCCACGCTGGCGCTGGCTGGACGGCTCGCCGGACGGCGACTTCACCGCCTGGGCCGGCCGGCAGCCGGACACCACCACCGCCAACATGAAGGTCTGCGCCGCCGTGAACCGGCGCGGCCGCTGGGCGGCCCGCGCCTGCACCAGGGGCAGGAACAGCTACGCCTGCCGCCTGCCGGCAGGTACGGGAAGCTCGGCGCGCCGGCCGACTGCGGCTCCAGCTCCACAGGTCGACACCGGCCTGGCCAGAGTGGTGTTAGTTGCTCAATGAGGGCCGGATGTAGGGAGTGGATGTAATAAAAGCACGACTTAAAAGCCCAAAACTGCTGTTGTGACGTCCCAATCACCCATGAAAGTGATTTAGTGACCTCATTTCCCTGCGTTATATGATCCTGACACGGCCAACCGTATTTACTATTTCCTTCGGCTGTGCGTGACACCCATTTCGCTCAGCTGATGCGGACACCACTCACCCCGCCCTCCCCCGTGTGGTGCAGTGCGTGTGGTCGCGGAGCCGACCTGTCCAGACCCCACCAACTGGCGGGAAGAGGCCGGCTCCTGCTACGCCTTCCACCGGGACGGCCAGAACTACCTGAAGGCGCGCGTCGCCTGCGCCCGCATGGCCGGCAGCGACTTCGGCGTCCGGCTGCCTGTGGTGGAGAACGCGCTGGAGGACGCAGCGCTGCAGAGTGAGCGCCAGCACCGACGTGTGCCGCCATCCGCGGCGGGGAGGAGGGAGGAGGGGATGGCGTAACGAACGTCGCTGGTAATGGTAAGGGGCTGGTGATGAAGACCTTACGCCGAGCCGCCTAAGGGGTTGGTGATGATGTCTACGACGCTGGTACGCTACGCCTCGACGGACGCTGGTTGGCGCGCCCGTGCGCTGCTACTTGATCATGAGTATCTGGGATGTTTCGTTTGGACTGTTGAGTAATGTACTCGAAGGTCGTGCTTTCGTCGATGGTTGCCGTCCATGTTTCGCGAGTTGGGAAACGCATCGGCAGCGTTGTATGAACGCCTCCTTGCACCGAAATCCCGTAATCCCCACGTCCCCACCCCATCCCCCCACCCCCACTAAAACAACCACACCGCATCGCCACTGACAGCGCCGCTGCAGCAGGCGGGCACCAATCACCAGGCTCCTAAGCCCCACACGGCCCCCAATGACCAGCGCGTGTCCCCGTCGCCCCAGGGCTGGCTAACGGTCACGTAATCCGACTGGGCCTGACGAACGACTGGTCGGACGGCGTCTGGCGCTGGGAGGACGGCACGGCGCTGGGCTACACCAACTGGCTTCGGCCACCGATTGACGGCCAGGGCCCACTGTGCGCCACCTTGGACGGTCGGCAGGGCGGCTGGCTAGCCCAGAGCTGCGACGACGCCGTGTCCTTCTACTGCGAGGTGGCATCGGCATCAGGTGGGCGCTGCGGCGGGCGGGGCAGAGCGGCAGCGCTGGGCGGGCGGGGTGGTGGCGGTGGCGCTGCGTCTTAGACGGGACGGAACGGCAGCGCTGCGTCATCAACGGGACGGGACGGCAACGCTGCGTCAATGACGGGACGGGACGGCAGTGCTGCGTCTCGTCCCGTCGAATGGACGGGTCGGCGACGCTCGGTCTCAGACGGAACAGAACGGCAGTGCTGCGTCTCCGACGGGACGGGACGGCAGCGCTACGTCTCCGACGGGACGGGACGGCAGTGCTGCGTCTCCGACGGGACGGGACGGCAGCGCTCGGGAATGACAATGGGGGGGGGGGGGGGGGGGGGGGGGGGGACTGCGGCAGAGGAGGCTCCACTAGGGTTTGCGCCAGCGCTCGGGGTTCAACCGGTGCTCAGCTGTTACAGGTGATGCCCGGGAGGACGGGAGCAAGGCTGATTTTGTAGTGCGAGCCATTCAAATATGGAAGCAGTGAATGGAGCGACCACTTTCCACGCGTGATCGGCCCAGATGCGCGGGACATGGGCGGAATCGAGAGTTCGGGAGACCATAAGGATCGAGTTTCATCTCCACACGAAGACATTCGCCATTTGTTTAAGTGGTCCTCAGAGTGCGTGTGACGCAGCTCGCGCTTCACCGAACTTCCGATTTCTACCGTGCTTACGTGGGATCGCAAGCACTATATCTACGGTATGGGTTGTGTGTTAGAGATATGTGCCTTTCCGGTCGACGGTTGTGGCGTCCTTCTGATAGCAATGTTTGTTTCAGGCTCGGAAGCCAGCTACGATTACGATTACTACAGTGATTACGAGTAGGTGGTGAGTGCTGAAGATGCTACGTCCTGGACTAGAAGTGAGTTGTGTGTTCGTTGCGTGTTGATGGATGGTTGAAGTTCTCATGTTGGTGCCGACGCTCGCGCTGGATATGATAAATACATTCTCGTCTCGATTGAGATCTCGACCTGCATTCGTGGCCTGTTTTCAGCTAAGCCGTCGTTTTTACGTGACGACTTTTCAGACAATGCGGTGGCCTCGACCACTTTCTTATTTTGAGTCAATGGGCTCCGGTGTGATATTCAAGACACGATAGCTATTTGACTCACCGCCAGATGCAAGAACCATCTGAGTCAACACAGTGTGGCAAGTCTCATTAGATGGGGGCAAAGAAGGAAGCCAAGGCAGAAGGATAACAACGTTTTGTTTGTGATGGAACAACATGTTATCAACATTTCACGCAACATCGATTCAGTACCTAACCAGTGAAACAAGCCGCTTCTGAGGCTATGTCCGGCTACATTGCCCTCTTCAGCGTTTGAAGAGACATTGATGCAATGTTTTTCCGATATTGCATCAGTCCTGTTCTCTTATATAGATTAAGAGCATAAGTAGAGACGAGAGAGACTCCCGGGGAGCACTTCGACACATCAGAGCTGTCAGCCTGATGGCGAGAATGCAGTATCTAGCCCTGTATGTCTCCGTGATCTTTCAAGCACACTCGACTCGAATGGTCGCACGCTTTGAAAGTAACTAGTGTGAAGAGGGAATCCAAACGTGATTTATCTCCTATTTGCCGGAATATATATCAGCAACTGCCCCTTTCTTTTCTCCTTTTCCTCAGACTGCGTCCGGGCGCTGGGTGTGCCACATTGTCGAAAGGTTCTGGATAGTATCCCATGCCCTTGTCCGTATCGGGTTTTCCGCTGAACTGTACGCTATCAATATCTATATTACGTTATACGCTAAACGTGCGATTTTATCTATCCATATTAGGTCTTGACTGCATCTCGCACCTGGAGCTTCGATGCTCTACCATATTTCCTGACACTCTCCCAGCTCAGTTCCATCTCTCCAGAACCCCGCTGATTCAGGTGACCTAGCAAACCTAGTTAAACCCCGCTGAACCTCGCTGGGCCCCGCCGACCCAGCTGATCTAGTTGAACCGCGCTGAGCCCCGCCGACCCAGCTGATCTAGTTGATCCGGGAGCTTATCAGGTCTCTGAAAGCAAACGGGCACCAGGCCATCCTAGTCGGGATGCCCGGCCACGCTGGCCTGACCGGTAATAAGTCTGTTGACCAGGCGGCGAAGGCCGCAGCGCTGCCTCCCCCAACGGGAACACTGAGTTCCCCTCCAGCGAGCTGCACGCTGTGACGGCGTTATATCCGGGCTGAGTGGCAGAAGCTGTGGGGTCAGGAAAGCGGTAGAAGCAGGTTGAAAGTCATCAGGCCTAAGATAGGAAACTGGTAGTAGTCTTTCCGGAGGGTCAGGGAAGATGAAGTCATTCTGACCCTCCTCCGCATTAGGCACACGTGCAGCGCCCGTAAATTTCGACCGAACGACGCAGCGAATGTTCCCATGTGCGAATGATGCAACCACCTGTTGACCGCAAAACAAGCACCTGCAGACTGTACGTTAATCGGCCTTGAAAGGCAGAGATTCTTAGGATGTCACACGACTCCGATGTCAACTGATAGTGAAATTCCTGAGTTTGAATTCTTTACAATTACAAGCTCTAAGCTGCGGTTAGGCTTAACATGATGTGCTGTCCTGACAGGCGTTAGATTAAAAGATATTGACTACATGGTGGTGGCTGCCATCGCATTCGGGCCTTCGGGCTTCTGGCGATCTCTTGACAGTGCTTTTTTACTGTTGACACTTTTCCGTTGACACAACAGCACAGCGCGAAGTGACCACAGCAGGCGAGGCACTGTAAAAAACCCGCATTACCACCATCTGACCACGTCAGACACCCAACTCCAGAGAGAGGAGGCGCTTAGGGAAGCAGCGGCCGACCACTGCGTGCCGGAAGGCCGATTCTGTCCTCGCTGAGTGGGTTGGTATGAAAATGCCCGCTACGTTTTTCACGGATTCTAAGGTAAATAGCACGGTGAAAAGGAAGTCATGGTTAAGTAAATTGTGAAACACACTTGCGAGGAACGTTACGCACATAGATAAGACGGCCGTAATAGCCTTACTCCTCGTAGAGAGTCCCGGAGAACTGAGATATGGATGCGTTGATAGTTGGGCAACATGCCTTTATCGAAACCGTAGTAGAGGCCAAGTTCGACGAAGGCGTGTTGCATGGTTACGGTCAAGAGCCCGTGCGCGGCGACAGGCAACCCTATGTAGTCAATGTATTTTAAGCAAGGTATCCTGTCAGGACAGTACATAATGTTAAGCCCGATCACATTTATAAACTTGCAATGGCAGATATTTCAAATTCAGGAAAATTCACTCAGTGATATCGGCATAAAGGCATGTTGTTCGATAAAGGCATGCAGCTCCATTCTCCTGGTTTTTCTAGGAGGAATAAGGCTATTAATGCTGTCTTAAGAAGTCATGGTTATTTTGAAGCAAAGATATTCATGCTCAAAACAAATCGATTTGGAAAACTTCAACATTAAATTCATATATATATATATATATATATATATATATATATATATATATATATATATAGCTGTACATATGACTCAAAATTTCTTAGAACATTGGTACGTAAAATGCAGCCGTGTTTACGGTCTATTGCCTCGTTGTTTGAGCTTGGGCCTTTGGCAAATTCTTTTTGGATACAATCGTCATAAAACTGTCTTGCCCCAAAAGATGAAAAATGAAAAACATCTCAAACATCAAAACGTGACCCCAGTCTTCTTTATTTTTTTCAAAATTGCGTTCAGAGCTAAACGAAACACTATAGACACAATTTCATTGAAGTTCCAAATAGTCGGGCTTCAAAAATGGACCTAACATTGGCTGAGTTGGCATGGGATGACCCGTCATTTCATACCAAATTCAAGTTATGGAACTTGGCGTTGCTGTATGACGTACTAAACAGATCTTCAAGTTGGTACGATGTCCAAGGAATGGCCTTATATCAAAAAAGAAGTTGAAGATTTAGCACAACGTCCTGCACTGCTGCGAAAATAGGATCGTGCTTGAGAACAAAGCAGGTAAACATGAGGAGTGCTCCAACGTCCCAGTGTCGCTTTTTTAAATCAGTTGTGGGAGCTCAGCCGACAGAGTTGGCCTAACCCACTCCAAAACCTGATTTATCCCGGATTTCAATCAATTTGCGGTTGCGAATCGCGGTACCCAGGACGTTTTTAATCGGCGGATAAAAAGTGATTTGCGGAAGAATTGATTAACATTTCAAGCCCATTTAAAACTGCAGCTTTATAAGAAGCTTACATTTGGGAGCAATTCGCAGAACATACCTCAGTAAGATGGTCCGATATGATCACGGACATGGTCTGCTTTTTCGTCGATGAGAGCTGGTTCGATGCGCAACAAGACAGCTGTATGCAACATATCGCAGACTGACACATACAGACTAGAGACGAATGTTCGCACGATACGCTTTCCGCGGAGAGGATACGGAAAATGCACATGCGCAATGCCAGGAAGTACCTACATCTTAACGTTCAACTGACCTTGTCGGACCTAAACCATCATGCCGATAACTGAAGTGACAGAACAGGTAGAGGGAGGTGACCGGATGGGGCACCCGAATGGCCGTCTTAATTAACAGCGTGACAAGCGTTTCGACTTGAATTTAAAGGTGCTGCAAGCGAGGAAGACCTTACGCTAGTGATGTCTCGACATGATGCGTTGAGAGCTCGCTGGAGTAATGGTCCGTCAGTTCACGAGTAGGTGACGTGATCAAGCAAGCAATAAGTATATCAAGAATAATCAACATTTCAAAGCTATGCCCATGACACGATTTTTCACAAAACCTAACCCAACCCAACCTAACCTAACCTAACCTAACCAAGTACACCCCGGGCATCCCTCCCGTCCCCCCCCCCCCCCACCAAATCTATGGCGTGTATTGAAATATGCGCGACTAAACATTGATATCTGCGCGATTCCACGCTGACGTTAAAAAATGGAAAGATCGAGAACACGCGATATTTTTTGACAACGCGCAAGAAAATGTGCGCGCCTCTGGCGCGTTTAGCTCGGTTTTCAAAACCGTGCCCTACAACCGTAAAATTCTGCGTACGCTTGTGGTCAACAATAAATCAGCCACACAATGAGGTAGACAGGTGAAACAAACACTAGTACTAGAGTACTAGTGGTACTTTAGCTTAACAGCGCGTGCTGGTTTGAATAGTTTGCATAATTACGTCTATTAGAAAGGATCAATCAACCTCAAAGTAAGTTTGGAGTGCGGTATGTGATAAGTTACCGGACTTTCCTCGCGCATACGCTCACTTCCTTCTTCCAAAGGTATCTTTTCATTGCACTGAGATTGTGTGCATAGCTTTTGCTCTACCACTGGCCTACTGAGTGACAAGTACATCCTGGTAGCACTTCCACTTCGACAGTGTTTTAGCCCATAACGATATGACCGATGGCATAGTATAGAAGTCGCAATATTCCAAGCGTTCCATATTTGTCCGGGTAAAACAGGGTCCAGAGCTGTCATTCTCTTTCGGGTGCGGCTACACGCTTCTCATTTCCTTACCGCTCAAGAGCATTTTTAATTTCTTTTCAAGACAGCATTAAAAATACCAACACAAGAACTTGATTTTTTCCAGTTCTTGCGCATTATTTACATAATTTATTGACAACACGGATACAACCATGCGTTGAAAACCATGAAGAAGACACGGGGTGGCGACGGCTCGCCAGCCGAGACGTACGCAGACGCCAGGGCACTCCGAGTCGAGCTGCACCTGCAGCGTATTGAGATGGTCGCGCAGCAGGCGCTGGCCAACACCTCGTAGGTCCATCGGCCGCCGCACACCAAGTGCGGGGCAAGAACGGCAGCAGCAGTCTAAAACCGCTGCACCGCCACCGAGGCGACGGGCAGCAGCCGGCCGGGCAGGTGGCCGCGGCGGCGGGGGCAGCAGCCAGCTGGCGTCTGTGGGGCGCACCAGCTACCACAGCTCAGTGGGCCCACCGCGCGCTGGCTGAGCGCATTGGTGAAACAGGACGGATTCAGCGCACAGCTGGTGG